GGCCTGTTTCTTAAAAAAACTTAAGTAGAAAATCTTACTTAAGTCAAAAAAGACAAAGACTTTTTTGGACTTAAGTTTGACTTAAGTCAGATTTTCTACTTAAGTTTTTTTAAGAAACAGGCCCCTGACAATTTAAATTTTCTTTGTGCGCTTATGTTTTGCTTTATGAAAAGCGCGTCACACACGGAATCTTAGGCAATCAATTTCAGTATGGCATGAAAGACGATTATGTACTAATGTTTAAAATATCATTGCTAGAGCATCAGCCACATATATTTGCGCTACTTCCATCATTTGTCATCAGTCGTCAGATAAATATTGAGAGAAATAATTCACAAATAATAATAATAATAATAATGAACTTAATTTTCGTATATCACAGTGGAAAACAATAGGACTCGACGTGTCTCTTACGCCTTTACGATTCTTGGGTAATAACTACAGACTACTCTACTGATAATTTTTTTAAGAACATTCTCAATTAATCCGTAAGAATCGATTGCTAGACTGAACGCAAAAAAATTAAGAGATAAGGTTGTGAGACATTCATCGGTAAAAACGTATTCTATAATTTTTTCGTCTTTTTCCATTTGTTTGAGATATACAGATTGGGTCTTTTTCTTTTTTTCACCACTGGGGAGCTCATAGAATTTAATGATTATACTATATACTACTTCAAACTCTCTCTCTCTCTCTCTTTCTCTCTCCCTCTCTCTCTCTTTCTCGCCTTTCCAGACTATAACAAAAAAGAAGTTAAATGTAGATCGAGTGATTACATGCTGCGTGCCTTAGAGTCTTCTATTCTTCTCCCTCTATGTGAAAAACGAGCAATGTTGGCATAATTAGCATACCATGCACAATACAGCATGTGTGTACTTTAATAATAGGGTGTGTTAGTCTATATGTCGACTGGCATATGACTTGGTGAAGAATAATGTATATTTATGACTTTTTTTGACCTCTATATTTTTGTGATAGGAAAAAAGATCAATATCATGTTACGTAAAAAATAGATATTCTCTTTATCGTCCAACAACTTTCATCATCAAAAAGTGTCATCAAAAATCTTATCAAATAACTTTGCGATAATCAACTCTTTTCAACAAAATTATCTTGCTTCGTACGCGCGAATATTTAAATATATCCTCAAGTAAACGACGGTCTAGCAAAAGCATAATGTATATCCAAAGTGTTTCCTCGTTTTTGTATATGGACACATACTATAATTCTACAAACTGCACTCCATGTCATTCTCGTTCTGTTTCTCTCTATTTTATTTTTATTTCATTTTTTCCTCGCTCTCTAGAACTCATGTGCGTATCCAGGTCCCTTGGGTGTTTGATTAACATAGTAGATTTTTTTGTATTGCAAACATAGAGCGTGGTAGACACATTCATGCAACGTACAACAAAAAGCACATATATACGTTACGTTATATCCTACCCTTAAGTGTATGTGACTACGACGGTTTTTTATCTTTTTTTTCTCTCGGCAAGAAAGAGGTGTTCTGAATCCCATGAGATCCCTTCTCTACATTTCATGCATACACAGTAAAATGAAAAATATATTTTTATGTAGTTGCATGTATTACTCGAATAACAAGTGTTGTTGCTGATAAAGCCAACTTTTTTAGTCGTTTTATTCTAGATTTAAACTAAGAGTATGTACAGAACATTCACTTACTTTTTGTTCTATGGGATACGATAAAATTAATGTCAAGAAGAAAGCAAACAAATCCTAAAGCAGTTAAGCGAGTGGGTAAGAATTTAAAATGAATTTTTTCATCACAATTCTTATGGACTTACGGTTTTCCTTCGTTTAGCAGCAGAAGATGTGCCAGAAGAAGAACCATGTCTCAAAAGTATGTTAACTTTTTTGTTTACGTCGACAGAAGAATGTTAGCATAATTTCTGTATTTTTAAGTACGATGGAGCTTCTATTCATCTATATTTTAATACTACTTCCGTGCTACAATTTTTTCAGAAGAAACGAAGAATCTTCTTTTCTTAATACGAATAAATACTACTTGACTTTTTTTTAGAACAAGCAACTAAACAGAATAATGCGACTGTCGTCGAGAATTTAAAACATAGTAATAGTAATGAAAGAACGAGAACAGCAATGATCGATAACGAATGTGAGGATGATTTTGATGATGATGAGGGAGATGAAGAGTTCAAAATGTTTAACAATGGTGAATTATTAAACAGTAAATTCAAATGTGAGTTATGTGAACAAGCATTTCACGATGGCGAAGAATGGAATCATCATCGATTGTACGAATGTCAATTTATAACGAGTTAGTCAAGCGAACGTCAACATTTCAAGTATTATATTATTTTTAATCAATTTTAGGCGAAGTCGGTAGTGATGATGCTAATCCTTTATTAGAGAGCCAAACTTTAGATGATTATACTAATCAAGTAGACAATGTAAGTTACTTTTATAATTATGATCAAGAAGAAATATCTATCATTATTACTAGATTCCACATGGGAATGGTCCTACAGCGGAATATCCTTATCCGTGTACATTCTGTGAAAAATCTTATACAAATATGGCGTTGTTGCTCAAACACGAACAGGTATGCGGCAGTGATTTATGCGGGGCAGTATCTATGTTTTTAGCCAGTTATTGATTAGGACATTTTCTAAGCAACTTGAAAGAACGAAACGATATTTTCTTCACCTGTTTTGAATTCACCCGTTTATATTCATTCATTCTTTCAAGCATGTGTGCTTAGAAGAGGCGCATTCTCACCCATAACTCAGTTTTTCTTTCTTACTGCATTGTAATGTCGGGAATTATTTATAGAAAATGCTCGGCGATTTTCAAAAAGTCCATACATAAATTTCTTGAGGATTTTCTAGATTCTAGAAAATCGACTTTACACAGCATTCTAGAAATTCGAGGTCGAATTTCTATAATTATGGAAAAAGCTCAACGATTTTCAATCTGGAAATTCCTCGGCGATTTTATATACGGACTTTTGGAAATTCGAAAAATAACATTAATTTCCAGTTATCTGGAAAATCACCGAGGAATTTCCAGATTATTGCTTATGTAGCAATGAAGCTACGCTGCAAAAGACAACTTAAAATTTTAGACATGTTATAATACATTACACCCTAAATTCGCATAACGCGCTTTGAGATTAACTAACGCTTTTTAACATTATCTTTCGATATTAAAAGCACGTTTATGCATTAAAATAACACTATTGGAATACATAGAACGGTCAAAAAATGTCTTTTACGCGTTAATGTTTTCTAAAACATCACTCCTGCATCGACAAAACGTTTTACAACGAGTTCACAATTCGTGTAGAAAAGTTTCAAAACTTTCGCAGCATTGTGATACGTGTGTGGATGCAGAAATGATGTTTTAACAAACTTTGACCCATAAAGACATTTCTATTGATCTTGGGACGCGTTTCAGTGGTGCTATCGTAGTCCTTAGACGCGTTTTTGATCTGGGAAGGTAACGTTAGTTAATCCCAAACACGCGTTATGAGAATTTAGTGTATTTTTAATGTATTGTAATATGTCTAAAATGTTATAAAATTTTGTTGCCACGTCTAAACGCGTTTGTTTTTTGCGTTTTAAGCATTATGTAAAGCAAACAGTACGCTTTCCTTAACGCGTTCACTAAAATGCATTTAGATGCGTTTGATCAAATAAAACGCGTTTTTGACGTACAGTTGAGCTTTAAGTAGTGGCTTTTAAAGTCTTTATCATCTGAAATAAAAAGCAGTATAAAAACGATAAAGTTACATTCAAGTTCAAATCGTAAGACTAAGTGCATGAGTGGGTAGTAAAATCTGATAAAAATTTAAAACGCCTGCAACTGCCAAGAATGTAATGGACTATAAACATATGTGAGCTTTAAATGGATGTGTTAGATCAACAATCTTAACTGAAAGAGTTTCGTGGACTCTGGAAATTAGCTTACCCTTTTTTCCAAGTATTAGATCCCTCGTTGAAGTTCTGCTTAATTTTATTCACACAAAAGTATTAACTTATGACTTGCACATAATATGACTGATCCACGTATTATTATCTTCGAATTTTCGACTATCTTGAAAATCGGTATTGAACTAGAAAATCGATTTCGAATTTCAAGAACCTTGGGAATTATTTATTGGAAAATCAAACTCGAATTTCCAGTATGTAGAAAATCGACGCCGAATTTTCATTTTTTGAAAGTCTATGCCGATTTTCTGAATAAAACGAAGAGTTAAGTTATAGAAAATAGAAAATCATGAACCTCTAAAAAGCCAGAAAATCTACACTGTAATTTGAAATTAATTTCTGATTTATAGAAAATCGATCTCGAAAATCACCGGCGACCTTCTGACTTTTATAAATTCCCTGTCGATTTTCTGGCTTTCTATAAACTTCTGATTTTCTATTTTCTATAAATTGACTTTTCATTTTATTCAGAAAACCGCCGTAGAATTTCCAAAAATATGAAAATTCGATCCCGATTTTCTAATATTTTAGAAATTCGATCGATTTTCTATAAACTGGAAATTAATTCCAAATTACAATGTGGCATGCGTATATAATCCAGTACCGTAGCAATTTTAGTTGCCACCATTGTTCTATCGTCTGAGTGATATTATCATAGGAATGAAAATATTTATGCACAAAAAACAGCTGAAAAATTTTGTTCTTTAGATAAACACAAACTCTATGATGACATTGAGGAACAAAACTTGTCGTTCTTTTAATCTCGAAAAGATTTTTTGTACGATTCAGTGTTCGGCTATTCGTTATTTATGGTGGTTTTTCTTGAGTCGGGAGATGTATTTAGCGATATGCAGCTTTTGACTTATTTGCTTGGATAGAGTTTAATAATAACTTTCAAAGATACTGTATGTGGGATGTTAAAGATGACAAATCAGCACATAGTACGTTTGTATACTTCATAGGTCCAATGAAAATGATTAGAAATATCAGTACCTGCTAAACAAGTGAGAAAGGTTTTCTTTGTGCAAGAATCCTTAGGGTTGAGCATTGATTGCTAAAAAAATAAATAGAAAGGCTTTCTGTTCAATCGATTCTTCATCACTGATTGGGAAAAAGTATGAGTTGCTTGGAAAACAAAGATGAAAAACAAACGATTCGGATGTTGGAGGGTCATTGTTTTTGTTTCACATTTCTCTTTTTCACAGGTACATGCTGATTTAATGCCATTTCGTTGTACATATTGTGGAAAAGGGTTCAAGCATCGTCGTAGTTTAAATCGTCATTCTAAATTACATACGGGTGAAAAGAAATTCAAATGTTTATTTTGTGATTCGAGTTTCGCACGATCGGACCACTTGAAAGCACATACTCGCACACATAATAATGATAAACCGTTTCAATGCCATATTTGTAGTTGCGGCTATAATTCACAAGCCGCACTCAAAATTCATCTATCACATAGTCATTCAAAACCAAAATTTAAAGTAAGTAAACCAACCATTCTTTTTGATATTATTGAAGTGATTTTTTTCTGTGTTTAGTGTTTGAATTGTTGCAAAGAGTTTGAATCAAATGATGCCTTAGATGAACATATACATGTATATCATAAAATTCAACCAACAGATAAATCAAAACAATGTCCTTATTGTTCACGTGTGTGTTTAGGTAGTTATAGATTATGGTTGCAAACGAATACAAGAAATGCCAATGTGTTTATTTAGGAGAAGAAAGCTTACGGTATCATATCAATGAAGAACACGGTTCAATAACAAGAAAGTCAAATGATTGTAATGACAATAGTCAAATTACCGAGAGTCTAACAGATGACAGAAAAATTTGTCAGACAACTGGTGAGCCAAAACAATTACGTTAACTTATTGTCAATCAAGAACAACTGAGTTATTCACACGTAAATAGTTTACAATATGGAGTTTTTTGTTTCGTTTTAGACTGTGATTCAACATCATTATCTACTATTTGTCCAAAAACTGAACGACATTCTCCCGTATTATTATCATCACCACCACCAATAACAGCAACATATCGTGCAGCGAAACCGTCTCATTTTAACAAACTTCCACCGACATTGTTCAATGATAATCATTATTTATCAGCAGCAGCAACATTTGACAATGATTCATTGAGTAGTAAGCTTCTGAAATCAGTATCACCATCATTAAATCATCATGTATTAGCCTCACAAAGTTTAAGCGAAATGTCTGATACATATTGTGGTTTGTGTAATGCAAATTTCAATACACGTGAAAATTATCTCGTACATATGCGTACTCATTCTCAACAAATACCCTCATTGAATCATCGCTTTCCACCACCATCTAATTTACGTGATGATGGATTTTATCATATTGTTAATGATTTTTCTTTAACTGAACGAACAGTAATGTGTGAAAAATGTAACAGATCATTTGATAATTTTCAAATCTATTTACAACATTATTCAGCACAACATTGTTTACAATTAATAAAATGTCTAATATGCTATGATTTATTTGAAACAATGCAACAATTTTATAATCATATTGAACAAGTACATCCATCAAAAACAATTGAATCATACAAATGTCGGCTATGTAATGCAGTTTATAAACAAAAATCCGATTTTATATCACATGTTAAAACTGTTCATTATCAACGTATTAAACAACAGGAACAACAACATTTATTTTTAGAAAATTGTTCAGATTGTTCTCGTACATTTTATAATCGTGCCGAATATATTGAACATATTATACTGTTACATGGAAATAATACAAATGATAAAACACAATCTTATGGTCAATGTCCGTATTGTTCTAATAAAATACCTATTGGTTTGCTTGATTATCATATTGGACATGTTCATAATATAATAGCTAACAAGAACGAGAATGGAACCAGTAATGGTCATTGTTCACTAACATTGAATGAACAAAACACAAATAATAATAAAATACATAAATCATTAATTAATAAACCAGGTATAATGCTGACTAAACGGTGTAAAATATAATCAATAAAAGACCCAGATTTTAAATGAGAAATTTTGACGATTGATGAACGACTCATCTTTATCAACACTTGCGACTTTATCATAGCTTCTTGTTCTCTTTAAGTATGATGTGTATCTACTGACATTTTGTTTTAATTTTAGTTGTTTATTCAACATCAACAAGAAAATCCTCGATAACAAATTGTCAACAGTTGACACCATCCTTTAATTCGATAACAAATTTTTCTTGTCAAATATGTGATTTAAAATTTAATAATGAATTATTACTAAACGAACATAAACGTGTAGAACATATTATTCGTACGTCAACGCCAATATCAATGGATAATTGTACAGATTCATCTGCTACTCACTCACCAACATCTTCATTTAAATGTTTCTATTGTGGTAATTTATTTACATCTAAAACTCAATTAGAACGTCATACACGAATTCATGTTTCATCAAATAATTTACGATGTAATATATGTGATCGTTCATTTACCACGGTTGAAATATTATCTGAACATAAATTAACTCATTGTAAATCTACCACTACAAATATTTGTGTCTACTGTAATCAAATAATATTAAATGAAAATGATTATAAACAACATTTATATGAACATAATAGTAAATCACCACTTACCATATCATCTCTGTTTGATGATTCAAATTCAACTACGTTAACAACAATTCATTGTGTGATTTGTAAACAAAGTTTAATGAATAAACATGAAATTAATTTACATATTCATTTTCATTTAGCAAAATTAATGACTACTTTGAATTATCATCAAGTATCTTATATATGTGAGCAATGTCAATATTCTTCGAATAACAATGATAATTTTATAATTGAATTGAAAAAATATCGATTAATATGTTATCGATGTCTTGAACGAAATGATAATAAAACACAAGAAAGTACAATTTCAAAATCTAAAGGTAAATAGTGAAATTTTTTTTTTCGGTCAACAGAAAATGATCACTTTATAATGTTTGAATTGTTTTTTTTTCAGTAACAAACGATTATTTTGAAGCTTTAAAATGTCTAAAATGTGATAATATCGAATTTGATTCTTTGAAAACATTTCAACAACATATTGAAACTGTTCATTCTGATTCTTTTAATAATTATGAATATTATTGTATGAAATGTAATAAATTGTTTGAAAATTTTGATGTTATTTCTCGACATATGTCAACTATTCATGAAAAATTATCACCAAGTGGATTTTTAACTGATACAACAACAATGATTAAAATAAATGAACAGAAACATCGTTGTTATTTATGTTCAAAAAATTTTCATACAACTGTTAAATTACAAATTCATTTAATTGAGCATGAATATCCAAATCGTGATTTTCTATGTACACTATGTCAACAATTAATGGCCGATTCTCAACATTTATACAATCATATGATACAGCATGGTGAACGTGCAAAATTATATCCATGTCAACAATGTGATATATGTTTTATGTTCAAAGCACAATTAATTAACCATACATTTACACATAGAGATGAACATCAACAATTATCATCATTAATGAAATTATCCAATGATAAAATTGAAAATGTATGTTGTACATCTAAAAGTTTTCTCGTTTTTTTAGATTGATAATTGTCACGATTAACACGTCTCTCTCTGTATGTATATATATGACTTTATGAATGTCGTATTCTTTCTAGACGGGTGTAATTCATGAATGTGGAATTAAGCCAAAATGGAATGGTCATTCAACACCAATGAATAAATTGTATGAAAAAACAGTAAAAAATATGGATAGACAAAAAATTATTTGTGAAAATAATATAGAACAACTTTCCGGATCTTTTGATAAAAAAATAACACAAGAAAAACAAAATCTATCAGAAGAAATATCAAATGTACGTATAAATTAATGTATAATTTGTAATTTATTGTATTTATTTTCTAGGATCAATGTAAACGATGTGAATTAATATTTCAAAATAAACAGGAATATTGGACACATATGTTCTCTGTTCATTGTATTGATTTGTATCAAACTAATTCGAAATCTGTCATTGTTGCTTAATTTTCTATTTTGTCTCCTACGAACTAGTCATCTATAGAGTCAGATTACATATGTTTTGTGTTTAAATTCTAGTCGTTCCTATATATACTTTGTGCAATAAAAAAAACAACTAAACAAAACTTTTTCCATAGACCGGTTCATGCGTTGTAACCTGTTTTTTTTACTAAATTCTTATCTGTTTGTTCTTCATAATGAATGATTTAGAATAGTGTCATTTATTGTATTTTTTGGAAAACTGTTTTTGTTATCTATATTCTTGTAGTGTAACAAATGAAAAAGCAGGATTTTTTATTCATGAAAACAACCGCAAAAAAGATAAAGAGCAGAAATACTTTTTTCCATTAGCCATCCATATGTTTTTATATCACCACGATATACAGTTTTGTCCCATTCTTTTTGATGGTATCGGAGTGAAATTTAGCATGAGTAAGAGAGTTAACGAATAACAAAATATGTTATTCCAAAATATAATCTATTCTATTTCTTATCTTGCCCTTCAATTCTGATAATATAATCTTATTCTGACCATAACTAATTGATTCCTATGAGAATATCTCAAACATTACAATTGTAGTTAACGCAGAACATTATAAAAACTGTCGAACTAATTTATGAACGAAAAAATCTGAAGCCATCACTTTATATTTCATGAATAATTTTAAATGTTAATATGAAATGTGAATTTAGTCGACGAAATTCGTCATAAGAACACTCAAAGTTTGATTTTTAACTGTCTAGTCAAATCCGTATTACTCCGACATAAATGTTTTTTATATTTGTTTTTATCTGATATATAATTGATGTTTTTCCTTACATATACCAGAGACAGAACATCGAAAAAGAAAATTGATGTATTTTTACTCAGAATTCTTTGAAATGTTCTTCTAAGGGTTTTCTGGAAAACTTCGGTGTTCATCCAGATATATGACGACTCCATCAAAACTTTATAGATCACGTACAAAATTTCCCCACATATACCTGGAATCATATCTCATAATGCAATTTTTTTTGCTTCTAACCTTTCCTTCTCAAGATATGAAAAAAACAGAGCAACGAAATATACAAACAGTCTCAAAAGGGGAGAAGACACAATTCAGCCAGTCCTCTCTCGACAAGCGTTTAAAGTTTTGAAATACCACTTGTAGTTTTCGAGATACTTTTCGAGATAGTTTTCGACATTTTTTACAGTGAAGTAAACAACGATAAGTTTCAGATCGGTTGAGAACGGATCGCATTGCAATAGATCGAATATTTCAAATAAATCAAAACTGTTTTGCATAATGCACTCCTCTAGAAATGGCAGGGACTCTCAAGGGATCATTATTCATTCTTCTTACTCCCCAGAAAACGTAAAATCTCCCCCAGGGATTTCGCGATCTTTCAGGAACTGTCGAAGGATTAAAAAATCAGAAGAAAGATTCTGAAAATCTGAAAACATCAGAAAAACGAAGTGTCAAAAATCAGAAGACTTTTTTTTGCCCAAAATGCAGGATTACTGCTTAATTTTTTTTAAATAAACCTTAAAGTAGTCGACGATCAGCTTTGCCTGAAAAGCGGAATCAGCTCTGTAGGTTTATCAGGGCTGAATCACACTTAATTAAAATCTATCTTCTCATTCAGACATGAAAAGTCTGAGCAGCTCATTCACCTCTAAATCCGATGACAGAATCAGGACTGAAGTTTGTGAAAAGACAATTTCCCAAATTTCACAGCTGATTCCGAGCAGATTTTTCAGCTCTCTATCAGTTATTAGAAGAAAAGCTTCATGTAAATAACAAATATTTTTAAACTGGACAAAACATTTAGAGTAGTAGAAAACTTAGATAGCTTTAACTATTATACGTATTTAAGAACAGTGTTATTTTGAGCAGGAAGATGTTAGCGTTACTATCAAGTGCGCTCCCAAAGTTCTCAGCATCATGTGATTGCTTGAGTCAGCCTTGAAAGTACAGATAAGGATATTCGGTTCCGAATCAGTGAGAAGCAAAAGAGAACTAGATGAATTGTCAACTACACTACGTGAAGATTGAAAAGTTATCGAAGTTTACTAATAGATATGTTGCATAAGAAAGTTGGTCTATACTGTCTACATAATGGCTGAACCAAAAATAAATCTTTTCAGTTCTTAAGGATTTTAAAGAATGCTCTTCCTTTTGGCTGAGTTAAAAAAGTTTTAAAATGAGCACAAGTAGGGTTTCCAGAAAACAATGGTTTTTTACATAGGGTGCTTGATAAAATAACTTTTTCTAGAGAAACCCTTTGTATTAAAATAAATATCAAATAGATGGTTCTATTCACAACTGTATAGATGTATTTTTAATTTGAAAAAAATTGAAATTTGAAAATTTAAAACTTGATTTAAATTTCGAACTTTGGTAGTGGAACACCGGGTTTTTTCAGAATGTTGCCAGTACAGTTATAAATTGAACCGTCTATTTGATATTTACTTTAAGACAAAGCGTTTCTCTAGAAAAAGTTATTTTATCAAGTACCCTATGTAAAAAGCTACTGTTTTCTGGAAACTCTACTGGCGCTCATTTTAAAATTTTTCTAACTCAAAAGAAAAGGAAGACCACTCTTTAAAATCCTTAAGGCCCCTCTCAGAAATGGTGATTTTCGGTCGAAAAAATCGGTTTTGAGATACGCACATGGAAAGATAGCCTGAAGTGTCTACTTCCAGAATCTGTATTGTTTTTAGTTACACAAATGGTTTTTCAGGGATTTTGAGCAAGTTTTCTGGGAGCCTCGAAAAACCGGGTCTTCAAATTATAGTTTTTTCTTGAACACTTGTGTAATTAAATTTTTTCTGAACACACAGCTTTGTAGAGCAAACGTTTCTGATCAAAATAAGACCTCGCACTACTCTGTATGACCTTGCATCAAAAAGTTACAGGCATTTTCCTAGAAGTCCTAAAATTGAGTATTTCATATAGCGTTTAATACAGCGTTTTCACTATATAAGAGTTACACCTGAAGTGCGTCCCAAGATTTTTAATAGCGGTTTGTCGTAGAGAGTTCATTCTTTTTTTGTTTAAAAGAGGAAAAGAAACTACATC